CCTCAACGCAACGGCCAGAAGCACAGAGAAGTATGCACTGACAAAAGAAAAACTACGTCCACGAATAGCAACATGGAACAATCCACAAGTAGCTGATGCTACTCAGATGACACACAAACATCTGATGGAAAAGCAAGCCGGAACCAAATCGCAAGACGGAAATGCAAGGCGTCGACGTGGGCTCATGCGAGGCTCAAGAACAGCATGTAGGAGGAGGGGGGTCCAAAACAAACAGTGCGTCAGACCATAGCGATATCCTTCTTCACTCACCAGGCACATCTCTGCCCGTGCTTGCTTCGAATGAAATCTTCAAGCTGCCGCGCATGTACCGCGCTGAATTCACGTGAGTCGTAGCGACCAAACGAATGTCAGGTGCGTCAAGTTTCACGAGCAATGTGGTAGTCGGACAACAAACCCCCAACAAATCCGCAACCTTATATATCGGCAACAGTTCTTTCCGCGCGCTCAGAACATCCTGATTCAGCGATCCCTTCGGCAATCATCTGCGCCGCGTTCGCGCGCGCGGGATACACTGCCCATTTGCCTCTTAGGTCGCTGCGCGCCGCCCGCATCCGAATGGCATCTGCGCCCCTTGCTTCCCGGGTAAACAGATGTTCCTCCTCAGCGCGGGCAATCCTCCCCCAGACGTTACGAACATGCGCAGATGACGGCGAAACACAGCGTTCCAGCGAAGCCGTAGAAGTAGCAGGGAGTCCACCAGCCTCCGATTAGTTGTCGACCAACGTCGGTGAGAGAGGTGGAGGAAGGGCAACACCTGCCAGTTTGCTTGTACCCACTTGGCAAGGCCAGTGACGCTCGCCGTACATTGAAGCCCGAGGGCTTTTTGCGGCGCCGCGCCCTTCCAGGTTCCTGGTGGCACCCTCACGGGGTCCGTTTGTTCAGCACGTAGCCCCCCTGGAAGCAGGATCTGCGCGTGACTAGCAACTGACACTGCACTGCGCGAAAACAAAGAGGGGGGGGCAGCTTTCATCGGCAACGCCTCTCGCAAAACAATTGCCTCGCGCTTGGGCGGCGGAGGTATAGGCGGTAAGGGTGTTCTGCGGGCCGTAGCCTTCACAGCGTAACCCTTCGGCGCATGGTTCTTGTTCACAAACTCCGCCTTCCCTGTCGGCGTGTGGAAGAGGCTTTTCCGTCTTCCCCACAGCGTCGTCGCCTCCTTTTCTGCTTTCCGAAGGCTCCCTACACAAGCCCACACAAAAATTGAACAACGTCGTCCTTCAGCCGCAGGGGAGCCCTTCCTTTGATCCCTTCCCGCCGGAAGGGGGGGGGTCCTGGGGCAGCTCCCTGGGGGGGTCCCCCCCAATTCCCGGGGGTGTCCCCCCCCAACTCCCGGGGGGTGGTCCCCCCCGACTCCGGGGGGGGGGGCCCCCCTCGGACACGCAGCCCTCCGCCTCTCATCCTCCTGCTTGGGGTTCCGTTGGCCGTCCAGGGCCGTCTGCGGCGGGCCCTTTGATCCCTTCCCCGCCGGGGAAAGGGGGAGTCCCGGGGCAATTCCGGGGGGGGTTCCCCCCCTCGGATACGCAGCCCCCCGCATCTCATCCTCCTGCGTCCTGGGGTTCCATTGGCCCTCCGGGGCCGTCTGCGGGCCCGTTCAGCCTATCTTAAAGTTCCTTGGAGACCTTTCGCCATTTCTGGACTCTCTTGGCAGCCTCTGGCGGCACTCTTGACAGCCTCTGCGGGCGCTTCTGGACCTCGTTTGACGCCGTCTTGGAACCCTCTCGGGCCACTTGAGGGCGCTCTTTGCCTATCTTGGCACTCTCTGGAGCCGTTCCCGAACCCTGGAGGAGGCCTCTTGAGTTGTCTTCGGGCGACCTTGCAGGCATCTGGCGCCGTCTTCGAGCCATCTGAAGGCATATTGGACTCCTCTACCTCCATTGTCTTCGCCGTCGCTGTCTGCAGGGTCGGCGGCATCGGCCGTAAGGCCTTCGCAATAGGCGATGTGTCACGGTTCGCCTTGCGTCTCCGGATTGGTGGCTCGCTCGCATTGGCGGTACGCGTTGCCTCTGAGTATCCTTCAAACTGACTCATTGTAGAAAACTGGATGTGCTGCCCAAAGACGACCAGACAACGTTGAAATCAACGTATCAGCAAACTGTGTATTACATGACACTATCAAGACGCACGCACTGAAAGGTATGTTGCATGTCAACGGCACTTGAATATCAATATCGAGCACAAGATGAAACCAACAACTTACGTGACCGCAAGTGATGACAAGAACTAATGAGAACCAGGAATAAGCAGTAGAGGGATGGCCAAAGAAACCAGCGCTCTCCATCGAAGTGTTACCAACGTGGTCGAGTCAGTTGTAGACAAGTAGCGAAAATACGCGAGAATCAAGGACAAAGTAGGACAACAAGAATATGTACAGAGAGTGAGTACGTCGATGGAAGAACAACCGCTAGCTCGTCACGGGTTTGCCGCCTGCGCAGAACTTGAGCCGTGATGTGATTGAGCCGTAGAAGCGCCTGGAACATCGAGGAGCTCCCAATCAATTGTCATGGCCGTGAGAAAAATAACAATACCTCTTTGAAAGATAACGGCGAGCCTGTTCGCAAAACAACCGAGCCGCAGACCAAACTCAGACCTCCTGAGTGGAAGAGCCGAGCTGCTGGTCGCAGCCGCGTGCACGAACAGCCGGGGACGCTTCGATCCCAGTCGATCGCTGTCTGCCCTGAGTCAGGCAGGATGAGGGCGGCGCGCGCGAGGGGGCCGCGCGAGAGGAAGCGGCCTCCCCAAGAGATGGGGGGGGCTCGAACGAGGACCCACGGGGCCTTCCCGGACGCCCCCCCCTGCTTCCGAGGGGCCTTCGTCGGAACCCCCCGGGCCTTTTTGAGAAGGACAGGTGCCTTCGAAGAAGCGCGCCGTCTTCTGCGAAAACCCACCCCCCTCGCGCCCCCCCCCTTTGTGCGCGCAGCCGCCAGGAGGAGGAGGAGGAAGAGGAGGAGGAGGTTGAAGGGGCCCAGGGACACCCGAATACACAGACACGCGTCGCAGGATTCCCCCCCCAAATCCCCCATAGGTTTTGACAACATGTTCTACTACTTAGGCGAGAATCGACGTCGATTTGTGTCTGTGTCGGTGGCCTATCTTGCTGCGCGCAGATGGGGGCAAGGGGAGGGGGGAGGCTTCTTAGAAGGGGGCTGCTTCTTAGAAGGCGCCGGCCTTGCGTCTGTGGATGAGACCCGCGCCTTCTACAACCCGCTGGACCAAAAAGTGGAGACCGTGGGGATCGAGAAAGACACGGCTGGCCTCCCGTTCGGCCACGGAGCCCCGGGACAATGTTGGACTCAGGGCCGATTCGGGAATTTCAAATGCATCTCTCACCTCTTTATTATTATAACGGCCAAATGGGATCAGCGTCTGAAAATGTGATTCCGCATGAGACTTCCGCAAACAAGAATTCAGATCGCCTTCCAGGGCGATCTGAAAAGTTGCCGCGGCATCTGAAAGTGGCGATTTCGCGTGGGACTTCCTCAGAAAAAAGTCAGATCCATCTTCATGCCGCTTGAGAGCGGCGACATCGCCTGAGAATTCCTCGCAGGGTAATTTCCGACCGCTTTTCACACCGCCACAGAGTGGCGACTTCGTTCGGGCTGTCCTAACAACCGCGCGTCTCGTCCACCCCTGCGTCCACCCAACCGCGTCGCCTTTATGAAGCTGGGGCGCTTCTAAAGAAGCCTTCCCCCCTCCCTGGGGAAACCAAACGGTACCGATACCGCTACTTCCTGGACCTCTCCCAGGATGCCTTCTGACAAGAATTTCGAGGCGAACCCAGCGGTGGCGACGAGGGCATCCCAGGAGGCCGACAAAAACTGAGAAAACGAGGGAAGGGTAGCGGTCTAGGTGTCTTTTTCTCCTCTGCGCATGGCCGACGTAGCGACGGCCTAACCCTGAGATCCAACATGACGGAAAAAATGTAGCATCGTAAAAATTGCGCCGGGAAGCCTCGACCACATCTTCCTGCGTCACTTTTCGAGCCAGATGGATCTGTGAGGGTCCCGGGGCCCGAATAGAAGGCGAAAACGCCCAGCTCGAAAAAATGGAGACGCCAGGATCTCAGGGATACTTCTAGAGGCCTCCTGGATGGGGTCGGAGTAGATGGGGTCGGAGGATCGCGCCGCATCGGGGATGCACTGGCGAAGCATCGTCAATATCGGCGATGCATCGGCGATGTCTACGTGAAGCAAATCGGGCTCCACATCGAGCCGCATCGGCGATGCATCGGCGATGCGGCGCGATCCTCCGACCCCTATCTACTCCGACTCCATTTCGGAGGCCTGGAACTTCCCCTTCTGCAGGCACTGCGGAGGCCTCAGATGCGATGTCGTGATTTTGATACGGGGTCCCCGGAAGTCTCGACTTCTTCCCCAGGACCGGTTTTCCACCCCGAGTCGTTTTTGACGGTCCTGGGGCCCGGTGAAGGTTCCAAGAGGCCGATAACTGCGAAAAATCTCCGTCTTGATTGTTTCAATACGTTGGACCTCTGGGGATACTTCGTAGAACGAAAGCCGTGCTCTTAGAACATAAATCCGATGTGTATTAAAACACGGCGGTCTCAGCCAAACACATTCGAAGACAAGTTCGCGCAAACCACAAAAAGGTTCGTGGAACATCCTTTGGTGGCCCTCCATTACTTGAGGGATACCTCCCTTCGGACGCCCGAAATGGGTACGGAGAAAATTTGCACAATGCCCAAAACAAATGTATGTTGTCCAAAACAGACAGCGGCTGCTGTTGGGCGGGCGGCTTTTTGTCTTCAGTGAACACCGCCCGCGGCGGCGCGGACAGCGAGTCCTGTTCAAATGAACACGAACTGCCGTTGGGCATCATACCCCATCTTTCCGTATCCATTTCGATCGTCCTGGGTGGAAGAGGAGGAGGAGGAGGAGGAGGAGGAGGAGGAGGAGGAGGAGGAGGAGGAGGAGCAGACGCCAGGATCTCAGGGACACTTCCCCTCCTGCAGGCGCTGCGGGGGCCTCGACGCCGGCGGCCGCGCGCCGCTCCCCGGCCTCCCCGCGCCGCTGTGCGGCCTCCCCGCGCAGCTCCGCCGTCTCCGGCCCCCGCCCGGGCTCCTCGGGCCGCTCGCGGGCACCCGCCGCCCGGCACGCTGGCCGCCGCCGCCGCCGCCGGCCGTCGCCGTCGCCAGCCGTCGTCGTCGCCGAAGATGCAGTGACCTCGCAGAGATCCGGCGCATTGAACAGAACCGGGACGCAGGTTTGTCGCAGTTTTCGGCCTCCAGGGGCCCTCGCCGGGCAGCGGGACCGTCAAAAAAGGATTCAGGATAAAGAGCCCGTCCCAGGGTCCAGACCTCTGGGGGTCGATGGACAAATCACGACGGCGGGGGCCTGGGCTTCCTGGCGGGCTCAAAAGTAGCACCAGAACTTTGACGCCCAAGTTCCTGTCGAGGTCTTAAACAGTCCAGAGAGGTTGACAGGTCTGGAGGACTTTTGTGTTAGCCCTCTGGGAGGTCAGGGTAGGAGACGCCGTGGCCGTGGTGGTCGTCGTCGTCGTCGACCACCGTCGTCGCCGTCAGTGGTCGTCGCCGCCGGTCGTCGCCGTCGCCGGCCGTCGTCGTCGCCGCAGATTCGCTTACAGTCAACCCATATAGTAAAGACGCGCGAAAAGGATGCAATGGCCTTGGACGCCCATTTCGAAGCTCTTCGAGCGGGGCGCGGCGAGCAAAAGTGGCCAAGGATGGGCCGAGGAGGCATGGATGCAAGGGTACCCTTGGGAAGGTTGCCCGTCCTTACTATGCGGGTCGACTGTTGGAGACGTCGTGGCCGTGGTGGTCGCCGTCGTCGTCGTCGTCGTCTTCGCCGCAGGTGGTCGTTACCGCCGGTTGCCGCCGCTGGTCATCGTCGTCGTAAGACCTTCTGTTTTGTCGAGGCGTCGTCGCCGCCGCAGCTGCCGCCGCCGTCGTCGTTGTCAATTGTCGGAGTGTTTTTTAATCTTGCACAGCTGTGCTCTAGAGCTCGGACATCTTTATTTTCGTCGTGGTTCGTGGTTCGTGGTCGTTCGTCCCCTCGGCCCCTCCCATGTGAGCCTGAGCCCCAGCTCCCCTGGGCCACCCACCCTTCGGAGGCGGCTTGCTCCGTCCAGGCTTCCCAGGACAGCCCCCCTGGGCCGCGGACATCCATATTTCCGTCGTGGTTCGTGGTTCGTCGTGGTTCGTCCCCCTCGGCCCCTCCCCTGAGCCTGAGCCCCAGCTCCCCTGGGCCACTCCACCTTGGGACCCCCCCTCCGTCCAGGCTTCCCAGGGCAGCCCCCCTGGGCCGCGGAACCCATTATTTTCGTCGTGGCTCGTGGTGGTTCGTCCCCCTCATCCGCCCCCCTGAGCCTGAGCCCCAGCTCCCCTGAGCCACCCACCCTTGGGAGCCTTCCTCCGTCCAGGCTTCCCAGGGCAGCCCCCCTGGGCCGCGGAACCATATATTTTCGTCGTGGTTCGTGGTGGTTGGTCCCCCTCGACCCCCCCCCCTGAGCCTGAGCCCCAGCTCCTCTGAGCCACCCACCCTTGGGAGCCTTCCTCTGTCCAGGCTTCCCAGGGCAGCCCCCCTGGGCCGCGAAACCCATTATTTTCGTCGTGGTTCGTGGTGTTTCGTCCCCCTCGACCCCCCCCCCCTGAGCCTGAGCCCCAGCTCCTCTTGGCCACCCCCCCTTGGGAGCCTTCCTCCGTCCAGGCTTCCCAGGGCAGCCCCCCTGGGCCGCGGAATCTTTTATTTTGGTAGTGGTTTGTGGTGGTTCGTCTCTCTGGGCCCCCCGCCTCTGGCCCGCCGCCCCCCCCCCCGGGGCCCCCTCCCCCCCGAGCCTCCCAGGACAGCTCCCATGGGCAGCCGGGAGCAGTCGTTTTGGAGCGTCGGGATGCGAAAAGATGAAATGGCAACATCCTTCAACACCTTAACGAAAATCCATACATCTTGCCTCTTGGGGACCTCTTCTCAACAAACTTCGAGGCCTCTCTTCGGCACCCTGGGAGCCATCTCAATACATTGTGCCTCTTGGGGACGCTTGTCTTTCGCAGCTCCTTTGTGCAAGAGCCAGGGCACGCGTGCCACTTGTTTCGGAGGTGTCGTCGCCAGACGTCGTCATCGTCATCGTCGTCGCCGCCGTCGTCAAACCTTTTGTTTAGTGGAAGCGCCGCCACCGTCGTTGTCGTCGGTTTTTGGGGTATTGGTTTCGGAGGAATCGTCGCAGGGTGTCGTCACCGTCGTCGAAGATTTTCTGTTGGGAGGCGGCGTCGCTATCAAGGTCGTCGTCGTCGTCGCCGGCCATCGTCGTCAATTTGTGAAGCCTTTTTTGTCCAAAGTGTCGTGGTGGGGCATCGTCGTGGTCGGCGAAGATTTCCGTAGGAGGCGTTGTCGCCGTCGTGGTCGTCCTCGTCGTCGTGGCTGCCAGTCGTCATCGACGCTGGTCTTCGTCGGCGTCGGACGTTTTGTTTTGGAGGCGTCATCACCGCCGCCGCCGTTCATCATCGTCAAAATTCGGAGCATTTGTTTCGGAGGCGTCGTCGCCGCTGGTCGTCGTCGTCGACGTCGTAATCATCGCCGTCGTCGTCGTCGAAGATGATTTTAGGAGGCGTCGTCGTTGGCGTGGTTGTCGTTGTCGTCGCCGCTGGTCGTCGTCGCCGCCTGTAGTCGCCGCCAGTCCTCGTCGTCGTCCTCGTCGTCGTCAGACCTTTCCTTTTTGAAGGCGTCGTCGCTGCAGCCGCCGTAGTCGTTGTCGTCGTCGTCGTCGTCGATTTTCGGGGTGTTTTTTTCGGAGGTGTCGCCGCAGGTCCTCGTCATCGTCGTCGTCAGACCTTTTGTTTTGTGGAGGCGTCGACGCCGCCGCAGCCGCTGCGTCGTCGTCAGTTTCCGCAGTACTTTTGTCCAAATGTGTCGCCGTCGTCAAGAATTCTATGTTAGGAAGAGTCGTCGCCGTCATGGTCGTCGTCGTCGTCGCCGCCAGTCGTCTTCGCCACCAGCCGTCATTGTCAGTTTTTGGGGCGTTTTGTTTGGAGGTGTCGTCGCCAGAAGTCGTCGTCGTCGTCGCAGATTTCCTGAGGAGGCGTTGTCGCCGTCGTGGTCGCCGCAGTTCGTCGTCGCCGCCGGTCGTAGTTGTCGTCGTCGTCGTCGTCGTGGTTGTCGTCGTTGTCGTCGTCGGATTTGTTTTCTTGAGGCGTCGTCGCCGCCGCCACCGCCGCCGCCGTCATCGTCGTCGTCATAGTCAGGTTTCGGTGTATTTTTCCTGGAGGTGTCGCCGCCGGGGTCGTCGTCGTCGTCGAAGGTTTTTTGGGAGGCGTCGTCGCCGTCCTGGTCGTCGACGTCGTCGCCGCTGGTCCCCGTCGCCGACGGTCGTCGTCGTCGTCGGACTTTTTGTTTGTTGGAGGCATCGTCGCCGCCGCCTCTGCCGCCATCGTCGTCGCCGCCGTCAGTCTTCGGAGTGTCTAAGACTTGTTCTGTTCAGACTCTTGGCCGCCCCCCGATTCTCGTGGGGGATGGACCTCCTCCCAGGGGGGAGGGCCCCTCCTCCTCCTCCTCCGCCTCCTCCTCCTCCCCCTCCTCCTCCTCCTCCTCCTCCTCCTGCTCCTCCTCCCCCTCCTCTTCCTTCTCCTCCTCTTCCTCCGCCTCATCTAACTCCTCCTCATCATCATCGCCCTCATCATCATCACACTCACCCCTCCTACAGCGCCCAGTATCATCAGCACACCAGTCACCAATTTTGTTCCCCCGATCCACCCTCATGGCTCTCCGCCAGTATAGTTGAATATCTGCGAATTGTACCACCGCTCGCCGCTCGAGCACAATGCGCCTGGGCCGTCACCCCGAACCCAATGGAGACGCACTGACCCGGGTCAATACAAATCCGGGTCAGTCAGGCCTGGCAGGATCCTGCAAGATCCTGCAGGATCCTGCGCGCTAGCCCGGGTCAACGCGCCCCTGACCCCCGTCTGCACTGACCACCGTCTCAAGGCTCCCGGACCCAACAGACCTACTCCCGCCCGGCCCCCTCACTCCAGCGCTTGCTGTCACGCTAAGCACACCCCCGCAACCCGCGAGCAGGGGCGGGTCAGATCAGTTCTTTAAGCACCTTCGAGCGCGGCCGTGCTCCTGCCAGGATAACGACCGCCTCCCCACGGGGACAAGGCCTGGGGTCCGCCCCCATATGAGAGCGTCGCGCTCCAGCGGGGGACAACAAAGTGGTGCCCCCCCCGGCCCGTCCTGCTCTCGGATGAATGACCCCAGAGACAACGTAGGATTCCTCCGTGAAAGAGGAGGGGATCCACCACGCCCCTGGCGCCCACGCGACGGGTGGTGCAAGGCCACGATAGAAACTCGACGGCGTGGGTACGGGCCGTGGGCGGCGAAGTATCGGCCTGAGCCTAAACCATCGCCGCCAGAATCAGCACGACCTCATCATTATCATCATCAGCAGCATCATCATCATCATCATCATCGTCAGCATTAGCATCGTCAGCATCATTATCAGCATCAGCATCAGCATCATCAACATCATCAGCAGCATCATCATTATCATCATCATCAGCATAATCATCATCATCAGCATCATCATCATCATTCTCATCAGCAACATCAGCATCATCAACATCATCATCATCATCATCATCATCATCATCATCATCATCATCAGCATAATCATCATCATCAGCATCATCATCATCATTCTCATCAGCAACATCAGCATCATCAACACCACCGTCATCGTCCGCATCATCATCTGCATCATCAGCATCATCAGCATCATCATCATCATCATCCTCATCATCATCATCCGCATCATCATCATCATCATCATCATCATCATCATCATCATCATCATAATCAACACCACCGTCATCGTCCGCATCATCATCCGCATCATCATCATCATCATCATCATCACCATCACCATCACCATCACCATCACCATCACCATCACCATCACCATCATCATCATCATCATCATCATCATCATCATCATCATCATCATCATCATCGGCATCAGCATCATGATCAGCATTATCAGCATCATCATCTTCGCCGTCGTCGTCGCCGTCCGTCGTCAGCATCATCATCAGCAACGGCATCGTCATTAT